CCGGAGCGAGCTGTCAACAAGCGGCAGGACGGGCTGCGGATCTTCCCTGCTGCCGCCCGTGCTGTCGGAAATTAAAAGCAGAAGCCCAAAATGCTCTGCAGAACACTAAAGGCAAAAGGAGCAGAAACTCTGGATGCAATTCAGAGAAAAAGGCACCAGGCCGTGACACTTCGGTCCAGCAGGGGGGACTTCACGCCGCTTCCAGTGATCAGAAACTGTTTGTTGTAATGTAGTTTGTTTTGCCCATAGAGATATTAAAAAACTTTAAAAGGATAATTGAGGGAAGATGCTGTTCGATGTTTCTCCTGAAATGTAAAGCATTGTTTCCACTTCTGTTGATTGCTTCTGGCTGTCTCCCTTACAAAAAGGAACTAATGTCAAAATTGAAAGCACGAGAGTGCTTTCAAAATAATCTTTAGCTGTGCTCCCAGCTTTTTCTTTTTTTTCCAGATGATTATCATCCTTCCATTTTTGGCAGTGCGATGTGTTTCTATAGCGACAGGGACAGAGGCAACAATCAAAACGGGAGAGTGATGCCTGCAGATTTGTGTGGTTAAAACCATGGGCTCAATGTAATGTTTCCCAGCAGTCCCAAGTGACTTTAAGTACCAAAAAACTGCTAAAATTAACCCTGGTTCATTTTGTGTAGAGGATATAACCAAAGAAATCTACAGGAAACTTTTTTTTTAAAGCATCAATTAATTACTTGATTGAACAGGCAGAGTGAAGAACAGTCTGTGAAAGCAGCAGTACCCTTCAGCAAAGACAACTGACAATGGGTTGCATGGCTGCTTTTGATGCAGAAGGGTGTGAGATTCACCAGCACACCTTGGTTTATCTGACTGCTTACACATTCATTAGAACCATTTTTCCAATTTAATTTTGTTGATACATAAGCAAGATGTGTGATCTGAGATACAAAGCACAGAATTTTTGCTAAGTTATTTTCCAGAACAGCTGTAGCCAGGAAGCCTTGTCCTTACCTGGCACTTGCGGCTGCCCCATACACAAAATATGAGAATTGTTGCTCCTGTGTTTATACAAGTACAAATGCCAGTTATTCAAAAGCAGAAGAGTTTAGCAGGCACTAATGAGGTGTGCAAAATGTGACCTGAAGCTCAAGAACTAATTAATAGCAGGAATTTGAAGAGTTTTGGCTGGCCGGATGCAGATGCGTGTGTAGGTGGCTAGGCTGGAAAGATGAGATTCCTCAGGTGCAGCTTGAAACCTCTGAATTGCTGAGGTAATGTGGGGAGGAAAGATCTTTAAAAGAAAAATAAAACCAAAAGCACCAAAACACAACCTCTTGGGCAATGTAAAACTATTTAGCTTTAGCTAATTCTGGATATGTGTGTTTTCAAAAGAATCTTTAAAATTGCACAAAGGTATTTCATCCCCAACAAAGCATAGGCGGAAGTGTAGGAATTTTGTTTGTTAACTAATTAGCTTGGCTAGCTGTTCAGGGACAAACCCAATACAACATTTTGTAATTACACAAGTGTACTTCTTTCCATGTAAAAGAGAAATGAAAACTGTCACTTACTGAAACAATTCTGCTGAATTGATCACAGCCTATCTACCTGGATTTCTGCACCTTTAAAAATTGAACTGCATATGCTCATATTATACTAAAATAATTTATATTAGCTTTCCCAAAGGAGAAGCAGAAGGTAATTTCATCATGTTTGTGAATTAATTTCAGAACTATGTATGCCCTAAAGGAATACTGTTAGGCTTCTTTTCCCCATCTCTGTTTATTAAAACCGTGCCATTATTATTTGTTTTTTAAATATGTGACTTTCAATTATTTTTTTAAATTATGGTAGTGATTATGAGGAATTTCCATAACAAACATGTAGGTATTTGAGACAGAAGGAAATACCATAATGCTAAGGGAACAGAGTTGTGCACTTTGCACACTCACCCTCTCTAGAATGCTTCAAGCTCATGTGACAATCAAGGTTCTGTTTTGGCAAATGTGTTTTGAGCAGAGATGTAGCAGGTGGCTGTGCCCAGACCCAGCATTGCCGATTCTAGTCCCGCTCACACTGGTGGCGATGAGCTTGCTGCAATGTCTGTGCTGAAGGGCAGAGCTGGGTCTCACAGCGCAACACGTCTGCCCAGTCTCCCTGGCCTAGTGGCAGAGCTTGGGCAGGACGATTGTACGGATTTCTTTGCACTGACTTAAGCTTTGTTTTTTTGGTAAAAAAATCTAAATTATTTCTCTATTGTTTTCTTTCCTAGATGCAAGTCTGCCTTGGTCTAGCCTTCCCAAACCAGCGTTAAGGTCGGCTGGCAGAAGCGTTGTGGCGGCTGTGCCTGGCAGCAGCGCAGCCCAGCGCACACCAGGCCGCGCTCAGGGCTCCAGGGGCAGCGGCGCTTCCAGCGGGCCCGCTCCCGGCCGGTGAAGCAGCGGGTGCCGGGCTGCCCGGGGCTCCGGAGGGCGCTGCCGCGGCTGGCGAGTGTGTGCGGGACGTGCCGGCCGGCCCCGCGCCACATGGCCGCCCCCGCCGCCAGCCCTGGCCCGGCCGCGGCCCCGCAGAGCCTCGCGGCGGCTATTAGGCGGCGGCTGCCGCTGCCTACGTGCGGCCGGCGGGGCGGGCGGGGCCGCGGGCCCGGCGCTCGCATCCCGGCGGGGAGGCGGGCACGGACGGACCCGCGCCGCGCTGCCCGGCCCCGACAGCCCGAGCCCCGACAGCCCGACAGAGAGCCCCGCGCCCAGCAAGGGGAAGCGATGCTGATGCTGGACTGCAGCTCCGAGGTGAGGCTTGGGACGCTCTGGCTGTGGTTCTGTCTTGCCGGGAGCCCGGCTGCGGAAGTGAATGAGGGGTTGGTTTGCTTGGAGCTGCTGCTGTTTATGCTGGGGCACTAACCCTGTCGATCGGTATTTCTGGTTAAGAGATTAAACGCCAACAAACTCTTTCTTGCACTGCTCTTTAAAAAAGAAAATATTTAGAAGGCAGTTGCAAGGAGCATGAAGGTCCAATGATTTGCGTGGGGAATGTTTTTTGCTGTGATGCAGTATTCTGAGACTTGCCGTGGCTTACACTGGCAGTAACATTTCTTTTGCTATCCTGTTTCAGTCTGGTAGTTTCAGCAACCTATTTGAGACAGGAACCGCTGTGAATGCACCTGCAGATGCCTCTGGTCAGTCTCCAGCTCACTTGGCTGCTTGTGGTGGTGAAGCTTTTTTCCTACTGTGGCAACTGCAGACAGGAGCAAATTTGAACCAACAGGTAAAAAACACTATGTTTTATTCCTTCCACTTCTAATCTGGCATGTCAGTAAATTCACTTAATATTATCGACACACTTTTTATCTAAGAGAGGGTTTTTTTAAACTCAGTTGTATTGCGTGAGATATCTAGGGTGGCTTATTCTAGAGTAACTTCTAGCATGAACCAGAAATCCTGTCTATATTGCATTAGCAACTTCACTTGCAATGTATAATTTAATTTTCACACTTAAGAGTGCTGCATGCAGACGTCCAAACAACTTAATTCTTTTACGCAACTTGAGTATTTATTTTTCCTCCAAAAGTTTGTCCCTACTTCGAGTAAATGAAAGGATTCTTACTCGAGTTGCTGAGTTGAATCTCTTATACCTCTGAGCTGGTAGCAAGCTCTTGGTCACAGCAATCCCTGAATGGTGCCAAGAGATGCTGTTAATCTTGTAGAGAGTATTCTGTGTAAGTTATCTTTTAGAAGGCAAAGGTTAAACAATGAATACTGCAGGAGACAGCACTTCTGCTTTGTGATGATGAATACATTAGACATTTAATGGTAGTTACCATTACTATCCTAGCTATATTCCTTTAATCTCCCAGCTCACAACAGACTGGTGTACATAAAGAGTCATTTGTGAGAACAAGACAGGTTTATCCTACTCCTCTTCTTGCAAATGACTGTTATATATAAATTGTGTTTTTAGGATTGCCTTGGAGAAGCCCCGATACATAAAGCAGCAAAAGCTGGGAGTTTGGAATGTCTTGCTCTCCTTGTTGCTGGTGATGCTAAAATTGAGTAAGTTGAATGACATTTACTAACTTCAGTAAGAGCATCAAAGGATGTGCATTTTACAGAGTACCTTTAACTTGCTCAGAACACACATGCTGAGGCTGCAAATATAGCATGGCTATAGCCACAGGAGTATGAAAAACTGACATAAACACCAAAGGACCACCGACCACATGCTCACATGCTGTTGTTTAGCTATATGCCTCTGTGATAACTGAGGAGAGTAAATCCTGATCATAATCTCACCCTCTCCTTGCCTTTCTGATAGGCTAAAGCCAATAATAGTCTGATGAAAAATTTATTTCAAAATAATTATTCCTTTTTGTATTTAATATCAACCCCCTGTATGAACTGTATGCTATCCTTGACAAACCTTCTTGCTATTGATTCTCAGTACTTATTTTTATACACCTGCGTAAATCAACACTTCATCAGCACTTGCTCATTATTCCAGTTTAATTGGTTATTGTTAATTCTGGATTTCAGCTTGTGCAACAACAGTGGACAGACAGCAGCAGACCTTGCACTGGATTATGGCTTTCTGGAATGTGCCAAGTTCCTCAGGACAATTCAGCACACTCAGACAATGAAACTGAGAGGACAGTCTGGATACTGGCTAAGTGACAGACTTGGCTTGCAGAGAGAGGATCCAACTGCACAGAAACAAGAAAGTGAAACCAGCAGATCCATAAACAGGAAGAGGAGAAGATCAGATGGTGTGTAACAATGTTGGTTTAATACAAATCTGAATATTTTAAAATGTTTTTAGCATCTAAGTAAAACAAATGTGTTAGATCAGTTAGATTTAGGAGCCTCCTAGTAAGGATGAACTTGCATAGGTACTTAAGGTTAGGGTATTCTTGGAAATGGACAGTATATGTGGAATGCCACTTAAGAGGCTACTTCAACACAGAAAAAAAAAAATCATTGGTACTCTTACTGATGTACTGATGAAGTAGCTACAGACTTATTTTATCCCTATGACAGATCTTGTCTCCTAGCTGCCAGAAGAAACAGCTTGTAATTCCAACATGAAATAAGGGGAATATGAAGAACCGTGACTGGATGATACACCGAGCAGTGAGATGTGTGTGCTGGGACATTGTCTCCTTCTGAGAAGGAGGAAAGCTTGTTTATTGTTACTTCTTACAGAAGCATTTTTTGATTTTTTTTTTTTTCCTGGAATACTTGTATTCATTCAGTCATAAATAAATGAGCACAGAAAAATTAATTCTCTTTCTGTGTAAATATGACAGAAAAATTAATAAAATTCAGTAAATACGGCCATTCTTTTCCCACTCCTAAAATGCCTCATCAAGAATCCCAACAACAAACAAAGCCTTTGAACAGATTCATAATGGACAAGACAGCTGGCTAAGTGGAACTTGAAAGGCAGAGGACACTTTATCTTTTTGTCATGAAAGAATTCCCTAAAACAATTGGATTTGGCATTTAATCTACAAAGATTCTAGCAGAAGAGGAAATACTATATAAACCTGAAGTTGTGCTATGGAAAAGTACAGAGTATTTGTTGCCTAATAGATGCATTTATAAGGAATACAGTTCAAAGCAGGTAACTCTTATTTCTAGAGGTTTCATTTTAAAAAAATAGTTTCTTAATTTAAGTCATTCAACCAACATTTCTATTTCAACTGGGTTTTGATTGACTTAAAGCATTATTTTCATAAATAACAGGAGAGTTTTATCTAGTTTAGCTACTGTTCTGTCTCAGCATATTCAGCATGAGAGTGAATTTAAATAGCCTTGGGTCGTTGAGGTAGGCACAGGTTATAATAGGCGTCCTTGTTCCAAAACTCCGGGCCCTTCCAGCCACACCAGCCCTGTCCAAGGAAAAAGCAAGAGAGCTTTTAAATCTACTTCAAAATCTGGGTTTCCTGACAGAAATTCCAATTCTGTTTTTCCTGCTTTTTACTATTGAGTCAATTCCTATTTTACTAATAATACTAATCTGAGCTGTATGAATTATTTTCAAATGTCTGTAGAATGCAATGACAATTTTCAGAAAGTTCTCTACATGCCTGGAAACACATTAATGGAAAACACATTACAGAAAGACTCCCTCCCCAGCTTAATTCTTGGAAAGTATCATGTCCTCCCCATCCCCACCTCCTCACTACCTTCTGCTGCTCCTGAGAGGCAAATGTTATTCTGAAGCACCATCATTCTCACAGTTTCCCTTAGTTCCTCCCTAGGCACTTTTGATGAGGAAGGTGGGTTCTGCATTTATTTTATCCTCCTGGACCACTGAAACCATTCTAACAGCTAGTAGCTCTAACAGCCCTTGGTCCTACACATCCTTTGGAAATTGTTTCTTCCTGTGTTCATTTCAAGCTTTGATCATTATAGGCCAGTAAAATGTTTCTTAAAGAGCTCCTTTGTTTTGTTTGTTGGGTTTTTTTGGGGGGATTTTGTTTGTTTGGCTTTATTTGTTAGTTTTTTGTTTGTTTGGGGTTTTTTTTTTTGGGCCTACACAAGGGTATCAATTAGAAATAAAAGTTACTATTACCAACTAAATATGAAAAACAGAAAAGACATTGACTACCTAGCACTTACAGAATGATGATTCAGCTGCTTTAAGAGTTTACATTTCTGACACTATATTTACTGGTTTGTAACATGCTGTGTCGTCCCTTTTAGTGGCTTTAAATGTGGAAATGACATTACATGCCCCTGAGCACTCTGTAGTTTTTCCACATTTTCAAAACAATTCAGTACCTACCCTCTGATCATTGTTAAAGGCCTAATCTGAGAATGGTTATTGCTGGATTTTTAAAATAACTTTTAATATTTAAAATAAATTATCTTCTCTTTCATTTAGAGCATCTTACAGCCTGAACAGAATTTTCTGTTTTATTCAAAATATAAAACACATTTATGGTATATACTCCTGGGTAAAAGGGAAGATGGGTGAATTCATATAAAATAAAGAACATTTCTTTATAGTATGACTTGCTGTAGTTTCTGATCTGATCCATCTCCAAAGACACTAAGTTTCAGAAATTGCCAATACTTAGCATACTGTAGTATGCAGGTTAAATGGGGTCAGTGCTTCTTCCATAGGGAATGGAGAAGCCATAGAATGGCCATGTTGTATTTGTCTGGACATTATATGTTTAATGCCAAAATACATGTATATACATAAATGTGTGAGTGTGTATGTGCATTAAGCCTCACCTTTTCCAATATAACATGCAGATCTTCTCCTCCAGTATAATGTGGGTCTAGAATCAAGTATTTAATGTGCCCTGTAGTCTCATTCCAAGCCACTCCTAATATCGTGTGAGCCAAAACACCTCCACCTAAAACAGGAGAAACAGAGATTGCTATTTTTTTTTTCATTGGGATTGATTTAACGTGCAAGGTCTAAATAAAAGTACATCAACACCTTCTATTAACAGATTAGCTTGTATCAAGATGATTCTGAAAGTGTTTCTTTCGTAAGATTCTTGACATTATTAAACAATGTACCTTTACTACATGTAAGAAAGGTTAGTTGTAGTAACTAAAATAAGTAGACAATGTATTTTCCAAATTTCTTCCAAGTCAGCAAGGCAGGTTAAATCCTCAGCACTTCCACTAGATGAAGTCAAGAATATTACAAACGTCTCTTTTGAACTTTTTTTTAAAGAAACCTAACTGTAGGAAAGAAATTGCAAAATTTCATGGTTGTAAAAGGACTAAAATTAGAAGAGAAATCAGAATTCCTGGATGAAGTTTATCTGTTGTTTTCTACTGTATTACATCAATGAATATTAGGGGCAGAATAGTAAATTCTGATTTCCCATTCCTCAGTCTGCAAACAGGAAAAGGGGATATTTTGATGAGATGGGCACAGGTCAACTCTTGCATGTTTCTTTCAGAGAACATGCAATATTTTACTGCCCCACAATATTGTACTAATAACTCCAACACGGCACATAGCGATTGCAAAATCCTTGGAAGAATACAAGCAAAACCAATCTCCAAACCCTACCCTCAAAAAGCCCAACCCCAGCCCTCCAATGACAACAAAAATGAAACCAACCTACAAGAGTGCAGTACAAAGGGTACTAAAAGATTTTTCAATACAGGATTCTACATTCTTGAAATTCAGACAAAAAAAGGCTGCTGAAAGGCCAAGAATATTTAATAGAATCATAGCATGGTTTGGGTTGTAAAGGACTTTAAGTATCCCCTAGTTCCAAGCCCCTGCCATGGGGAGGTCACCTCCCACTAGAGCAGGTGCTTATAGCGCCATTGATCCTGGCCTTGAGCCCTGGGCCATGCCCCTGGTCTTGGGGCATCCACAAAGCACTCTGGACAGCTGTTCTGGTGTCCAACAGGGAAACATTTCTTCCTAATCTCTAATCTAAACCACCACCATACCAAAGTCTGGACTTCTGGCACCTCTGTTTTGAGAAAGTTACAATGTATTATGGAATGACAAATACAGATTGAAAAATTGCTTTAATTAATGTTATTAAAGTTGAAAATAATAACATCAATATTGCCAATTTCCTAAAACACAACATGGAAAAAACAGTTCAATTAATGCTGCAGTATTTTTACAAATGGCAGTTATCATACCAATACTTCACATTATTAAAACTGGTCTTAAAACAAATTTGGATAATGCCCTTCTCTTCCAAGCCAGAAAAACAGTACTCCTCTCTGAGGGAAAGTTTTGGGGAACTTTATGAACTTCTGCTCCTGTAGAGAATGGAAGTCAGCTCAAGTTCTGACTTAACAGAAATTTATAAAAACACCATTTAGACTGACTTTTTTCCCATGTTTAAAACTGAGCCTGAAGGAAATACCAAATAAAAATATACCAGCCAGACTAAACTCTATAATTTTTGAGGCTACCTTGGGAAAACTGTAATTTTTAATTCATCTACAGTTTTGATTAACTTTTGTACAGTAAATTAAATGGGTTCTAATTGAAATGAAATTCAGCACAGGGAGGCCATGCACTTTCATTAGTATTCTTCAACACTCAAGTACTTACCAATCATAATTGGAGTTCCCTCAGTCTTGAAATGATTAGCAAGCTCTCTTCCCTGCAATGCTAGTTCAGAACCCTGGCTAGGTAAGAAAAACAAGAAGAGACTTGTCATTCTCACTCAACTTACTTCATGATTGTCCATTATACTTGTTCACTGCATGATTAGGAAGTAGGAAGCCACTTAGATTATTCCTTTCTAAACTTCCTGAGAAAATCTGAAAAATACTTTCTATCACAAGGTCTATTTGCTAGGCATGGATATTAATACAGACATTTTTGATATTTTGTCTTTTTATTTCTTCATATAGTGGCTAATCTTTTTAAAACCCAGTGAAAGTCTGTGTGCCGACTCCCCAAGCAGGAATGGATTAAATGCAGACAGAATACAAAACTGGGAAATGATGCGTTTATAATGGATCCAGTAGCAGTGTTGCTGGTGCAGCTGTGAAGTCTTATTTCCATAAAGAATTAAAGATGCTTGCTGGAAATAAGCCCAAGACAAAAATGCTATCCACTGCCAGTGACCAGCTGAAAAAGCTGCATGATTGTTTCTTTTTCCCAGCATGGTATTGATGTTGGTTTTTTGTAACCCTGAGAAAAACTGGTGCTCCCTTGTAGCAGCACTATGAGCAATTCTACCCAGTTCAGAAAGGAGTGTATTCTATATTCTCATATTCAGGAATAAAAATCTTCACAGCTTCTATAAATAATAGGTGAATCCTCTGCAAGTACAAGCTCTGGAACAAAAAAAAGATTAAAATATTGAAGACCTGAAATATTTTCCTACCATTAAGCATCCCCATCACTATGCACTTTTAGAGTACCTACAATGTGCATTTACTCTAAATAAACACAACATATGAAAAGCAGTTTGGTTTGTATTTTCACACATACTGTTAGTGTATGTTCTTAATTTCGTGACGGTATTTATGAAATGTTCAGGGTTTTATTAGTCAGCTTAGTGCTTCCTAAATTATAAAAAGTATGACAGTTTTTCTTCTGATAAATGCTAAAGACTATTCTTTTTGTTCCAAATATCTTCGTAGGGTCCTTCACTGTGTATGAGAGCATCAGATTGTCAGAATGGAAACAAATTCCTTGCTTTATTTGTCACACAAATTCAAAAAGGGGAACATTATTTTCCAGACTTCTCAACAATTTGCCTCAATCCTAAACTCACAAGTTAGGTCTGTGGCTGCAGTAATAATCTATTTGTTAGTGTACAT